TGCCTCTCTGGGGTGCCCTGGATGAGACACAACCTGACATGGGGTCTGGAAGCACTCAATGCAGCTTGTTGATCTCTTTTGAGATTTATTTATGAGTCTATGGATCATGGCCAATTAATGAGCTTATTTGGAAGCTGTATTCTTTCTGGAATGCATACCCCATCTCTCTCACCTTTTCATAAAATTTCTTTTCATTTTTTTAAAAGTAACATTATTCAGTACATTTCTTTTTTTCATTTTGGGGGGAACTTAAGAGTTACACCCAGTGATGTTCTATACCCCAGAGAAGGCCCCTGGCAATACTCAATGGTCTATATGTGATTCTCTCTCTCTTTTTCTCTCTCTCTCTCTCTTTCTCTCTCTCTCTCTCCCTCTCTCTCTCCCTCTCTCCTTCTTTCTCTTAGACCTCTTAATAAACTTTTTTTACTTCACTATTTTTCTCCTGAAATTCTTTTCTGCAAAAGCAGATGATAAACCTGGGAAAACAGTGTGGCCTGTAGGATGACATGCTTTTTCTTGCAAAGAGTAATTCCTTGCTTCCTTCTGAGTCCACAGCTCCACCAAAAACACTGATTTAGGTAGCGGAGATGAGTTCACTTACTGCATAGATCACGTGGACCTCAGGTGCAGTTCGATAGGTGGGGCTGGTGGGACAACTGCATCTACATGTAGTGTTACCCTTCCTAACATATACCCAACATCCCTCCCCCTCCAGGAGCTCCCTTGGGGAGATCAAAGTGATTCAAACAGGAGGTCGGTAGCATTCTCTCTTCTGAGACTAATAATTTCCCCTCCACCCACCTCTCCCACCAATAATAACTTGAGCATGATTAACATTGTTATCCTTAGTCTTTGTCCCTCTTCTGCCACAACCCAAGGCTCAACCAACATAGTTCATTGTAAACTTTCAAATAGGTCTTCCTAATTCTGCCTGTCTAACTTTCTTCCTCCTTCCTTCCTCTCTGTCCTTCCTTCCCTCCTTAATTCCTTCCTTCCTCCCATTCTTTCTTTTTCTTTCCCTCCCCCTCCACTTCTTTTTTCTTTCTTTCTTTCTTTCTTTCTTTCTTTCTTTCTTTCTTTCTTTCTTCTTTCTTTCTGTTAATCCCTACCTGTTAGTAGTAGAAAGCAACCCTACTGTTAGTAGTAGGATTTTTTGTATAAATCATTCCAATACCACACCCTCCATCAGAGTTTTTGCTTCCCCCCAATTTTTGTCTCAGTGTTCCACCATTCTCCTTTGCCATTCCCAAGCCCACCATCCCATTCCTCTGGTAAGCTTCCGACAGAAGACCAGTTCTGTTTCAGTTGCCTTTGGGTATTTGTTATTCCCCTACTATGTTTCTTTATGTACCACATATGGAAGATCATATTGTATCTCTCCCTCTCTCTCTGACTAACTTCACCCAGCATGGTACTCTCCAGATCCATTCATGTGGCAGGAAATTGCATAATTTTATCTTTTCTTATAGCTGAGAACTATTCCATTATTTATATACCATAGTTTCTTTATCCAGTCGTCTTTTCTTGTGGCCACTTGCGTTGTTTCCAGATTTGTGCTACTGTTAATAGTGCTACAATAAACATAAAAATGCAAATGTTTTTTCATAATATAGTTTTGGGACCCTTGGAGTAGATGCCAAGAAGTAGAATTGCTGGGTCGTATGGAAGGTCAATTCTTAGTTGTTTTGAGGAGTATCCATATTGTTTTCAAAAAAGACTGGACCAGTGAACAATACCACCCACCCCCCGCAGTGACTGAGGATCCCCTTTTCCCCATATCAACACCAATATTTTTATTCTTTGTGATGTGTGCTAGTCTCATTGGTATGAGATGATCTCTCATTAGGTTTTTTGGGGGTGAGGTGGGGGTCATACCCAGCTATACTCAGGGGTTACTCCTGGCTCCGTACTCAGGAATTACTCTTGGAGGTGCTTGGGGGACCTTATGGGATGCTGGGGATTGAACCCAGATCAGCCACAAGCAAGACAAACACCCCTTGTTTTTGGTTTCCTTTTTTATTTACTTGCATTTTCCTCTTGATAAATGACACCGAGTTTTGGGTTTTGTTTTTTTTTTCTTTTCAGATATCTTTTGGGCATCTGTATGTGTTCTTCCTGCTTCCACTTTACCAACTCGTACTTTCTTCTCCAAAGCAGTAGGTGCTTTCCAAAAGTGCAATTAAGATTACAGCATTACTCTGCTTAATATTTTCTGATGTCTACTTCACAATAAAATTTAAACTCCTGGTCTACAAAACATGATCCATTCCATGCCTTCTCCATACCGATATGAATGCACGTTCTCTGCTGGATCATGATACTGCATACACTCTTTTATTCCTGAACATCAGAAGTTTGTTCCCAAATCAGGGTATTTTTGTCTATTGTTTTCCTTCCCCCCGTCTATTATTTTTTCAAGGTTGATTATTCATCAGTGAATTCTGAGTTCAAATATTGCCTCTTCAAAAATGTCTTTCCTGACCATACTATTTAAACTCTGCTGTCTTCCACTCACTGTGACATTTTTAATAGAATTTATCATCCTCTGAAGTACTACATTATACTTGTCCAAGCTATGTTTCCCTCTTTGTAAGTTCTGATTATTTGTAGAGTTTTTGTTTGGTTTGGTTTTGGGGTTTTGTTTAGTTTGGTTCTGTGTGTGTGTGTTTTGTTTGTTTGTTTGTTTGTTTTGGCTACACCTGGCAAGGTGTTTTTGATGTGCCAAAAACGGTAACAAGTCTCACAATGGAGACATTAGTGGTGCCTGCTCGAGCAAATCGATGAACAATGGGAGGACAGTGCTACAGTGCTACTCCTGTCTTTCACTCAGAAATTACTCCTAGTGGTGCTCAGGGGATCCTATGTGACACTAGGGGTTGAACTTGGATTGGCCATGTGCAAGGTAAGTAGCATATCCCACTGTCTTGTCACTCCAGCTCCATGTTTGTGTTTTGAGGATCTGGAGATTGAGGTCAAAGTCTTTCCACACTTGCAAGGCAAAGTGCTCTACTTCAGAACTGCATGCCCAGCACTCTCTGTGTTAATTTTAAGACACACACATTCTATCTCATTTCCATAATATCCTTAGTTCCAACATACTGAATTCATATTTGTTAAATGTAAGAAAAGAAAACCAGCATCACCTGGCATAAGGAACAGAACACTCTTCAGTGTGGTTAGGAACTACTCTCTTATTCCTGTATAATAACAAAACACCAGTCATAATGAAAGATTATTGGTATTAAAGTCACTCTGAATTAATGAGGAAGTTAGACCACAGGGAAGTTTACTTAATTCTTGCCTAACTTTGTTACTGGGTGGATGGCAGTAACACTGAATTCTGGCATAAATGTTAACATGATTGTAACCATGTTACTTAAAATACAGTTTTAGAAAAACAACACATTATTAAGAAATAGAGATATCACATAGGTTACAGCATTTGCCTTGCACATGGTGGACCCGAGGTTTATTTCTGGCACCATCTACAGTCCCCTAAGCATCTCCAGGAGTGATCCCTTAGCAAAGAGTCAAGAACAATCCCTGAGCACTACCAGGTATGGACGAAATCCCTAAAATAAAAATAATAATAATAATAATAACTAATGTTGCCTCCAGCCTCCAGGGCTGGAGCGATAGCACAGCGGGTAGGGCGTTCGCCTTACACGCGGCCAACATGGCCGACCCGAGTTCGATTCCTCCGCCCCTCTCGGAGAGCCCGGCAAGCTACCGAGAGTATTCGATATGCCAGACACAGTAACAACAAAGTCTCCAATGGAGACATTACTGGGCCCGCTCGAGCAAATCAACGATCAACGGGAGGGCCTTTACTTTTACTTTACTTACTTTAATGTTGCCTAAACATAGACCAATAAAGTTGTACAAACTACAAAAATTATCACTTCTCTTTACTCAGTTCTTTATGAAATGTAAGTTTAGCTTTGCAATTTTCCTTTCTTTTTACATAAACCATAACATATCAAATCTCAAAATTATAAAAAATTTTAACAACAGAATGCATCTCCATTCCCTTGAACTTTCCCTGCCCCACCCTAAGACAAGGTAAATTCTTGCTATGTTTCCACTGGAGAGTATTGACAACTGAATTTCTCAAAATAGATCAAAATCTCTGGTTAACTTTTCTATTGTACGAAGTAATTTCTTTAATCTCCCAAACATCTTTAGAACCTCCTTGAAGCGTATATTCCTTCTACTAGAGATACCTTTGTTCTTTCCTTTAGGTGTGAATAACAATCCTACAGTCCTACCCTCTTCACCAATCAATCCTTCCTTCTCCAAATGGGGGAGGTTATGATTCATAAAAGAAACTTTTATTTTAGGCGGTCGGTCCGGAAAGACTAAATCTGTTCACCCTTCTCTTAGTCATTTGTAAAGGGTCGTTTATTTTCCTCCTCCAGTCTCCCGTCCGTTTTCTGTTCAAACTCATGTAGCCGTTCAGAAGTGTAAAGTGCTTCTCTTCTCACCTTGATCACATGTGTAATCACCTATGATTGCATAACGTGATTACAAAATAAAAACATTTATAAACCTTTTTTTTTGGGGGGGGCACTCTATTTTCTCTCTGAAGCACCTTCAACATTAATTTAACTGTGACCCTTCTTTTGCCTAAATACGGTACGTAAACCCCATAAGATGTGCCTTTCTTGCAAACTGTCTCCAAGTTCTAACTCGCCACAATCCAATCACACACATGCAATTGAAACAGCCACATACTTACCCAGATCTGGCGCTTCACGCTGCCTTTATTGGCTCGCCTTGAACCAGCAAGGCTCAGCGCAGTTCCCCCCCTCCCCACAACACACACCCGCAGCCAATCAGAGCCCTGAGTCCTGACTTCTTGGCCAATCTCCGGCCAAATCCAGGCACCGCCCCGTAACTCCCTCCAGCCCTGCCCCTTTCACAGCCTCAGGGTAGTCTTTTCCTGCAATCAGCACTCAGGAGCAACCTCTCCACCAATCGGCGCTCGGAATTTGGACTGCCGCCTCAATTCCCGCCCCCGCGCCGGCCAAGTGTAAGAGGGTCGCGCACCCCAGTAAGAGGGAGCCCTGCGAGGCAGGTGAGCTGCAGGCGGGACGTGTACCCGGTTCCGGAGACTGCTGCGGTACCCGGGTGCGGAATCGCGCCGTCCGGGGCCGGGGAGGGTAGGACTTGGCGCGAGCCGCGCTGCAGGCGAGGCGGGGTGGGAGAGCCGTGCAACGTTCTTTCCTTGGGCCGTGGGAAGGGGCGTGCGCCCCCGGTTGCCGGGGTGGCAGCAGACAGGCCACGCGGGGGTTGTTCCCCACGAAGAGGTCACGTCTCTGAGGTCATTGACTTTCTTGGGTGGGTTTTCTGGATTCTCATCCTTTATCTCCCCTCCTCCTCCCTCACCCCATCCCATTATTATTGCTTTCGCAATTTTTGAAGACGATCGAGGGCATAACCCGGAATCCGATTCATCCCTCGTAGGGACTCCTAATAAGAAATAAAAGCTGTTGGAGTCGGAGAAATAATAACAGCGGTAGGGCACTTCCCTTGCACGAGGCAAGGTCTGGGGTTCGATCCCTTATGGTCCTGAGCCCCGCCAGGAGTAATCCCTATACATAGAGCCAGGAGTAAACCCTGAGAACCGCCGGGTCTGGCCTGAAAACAAAAACCTGTTAAGTTACCAACTAAGTAAATCTTTGTGAAATCCATAACTAGTCGGTAAAAGACCAAAAATCTGTTGCCTTCAGACCACAGCAACGCTCGAAGGGCTCCTGCTCGTGCTGCACCTGCTGAAGCCATAGCAAGGTATGTCTCCTGCGCTTAGTTCCAACTAAATCCTGCTAACTTCAACCATTCCGCTGTGTTTCTTCCCTCTGGAGAAATACAAAATGCATGACTTGGCATATGAAGCCTTTTGTTTGTTTGTTTGTTTGTTTGTTGATAGAGCAGCTTTACAGCAGTTTGGGGTCCACCACTGACCTTTTACGTTCCTTCTACAGTGACTTTGAGACATGGTCACACTGGGGTTACCTAACCAGGGCTTGTTCACTCCCTAGATGCCCTCTGGAGTACCAATGAGCGTTTAAACATTCTGGAAGTGGACTGGTAGATAGAACATGAAGTGACAATTATTTTTCTTTTGGTCAGATACCTGCAGCTACCCTGAGCTATGCATTAACTATACCTCTTATTTCATCTTTTCTTTCTTTTTTTTTTACAATATTAAACTTGTGCTCTTTATTTATTTTTTCAATTTTGATTAGTGAAACACCGTGAGGTACAGTTGTGGACATTACAAGTTTTTGTGCTTGGGTTTCAGTTATACAATGATCGAGTACCCATCCCTCCACCAGTGCCCATTCTCCACCACCAATGATCCTTTCATCTTTTCTGAACCTGCACTTAACCAAAACTTTAAGCTGCCCATTGTGGTAAATAAATTGACAGGTTAACTTTCTGTTTGAATTTGAATATGGAGTTCATCTCACATTTGATATGCTGTAATCAGATTTACTAGTTTATCCTGATTCACAGCTGCCGTGATTTCTTTGTAGAACATGATTTTAAATGAGAAACTAGAAAAGTAATTGTTTAGAATTAAAATTCTTTTTCTACAACTTTTTCGGAGAGCCCGGAAAGCTACCGAGAGTATTCGATATGCCAGACACAGTAACAACAAAGTCTCCAATGGAGACGTTACTGGGCCCGCTCGAGCAAATCGACGATCAACGGGAGGGCCTTTACCTTTTACCTTCTACAACTTTTAAACAAAACCCAGATTTATTTACTTACTTTATTGATGACTTTGGTTGGGAATGTTTGTTGCATTAGAAAAATGTGCTCAAAATATATCAAAGTGCAAAGAACCCCCTCTGTGCTATCACTCCAGCCCTTCAGAAATAATAAAACAAGAAATTACCTAGCTCTGAAGTAGCACAAAGACATGAGGATCACAACCCTTTCAGATGCAACTCTGAGGCCATTTGGAGAGAGAAAATGAGGCACCTCCCAGGATGGGTAGATCCCCCTCATTAAAGGAGAAGATTCGAATTTGAAGGACATGGTAAAATGAAAACTTTTGAAAGTGTGGAGGGGGAGAGAGTGAGTGAGAGAGTAACACACTCAAGAGAGAATGCGGGCTTCTCCAAGGGCGGAGAGAGCCCTATACACACTCCAGCATCACACAAGAAAGTACACATCTCATGAGGGAAGATGCGGGCACCACATGTGCTCGGGCGCCACATGTGCTCAGCCACATGGATGCAAGCAGCACATGGGCTAGGGCAGCATACGTGCCCCTCCTTTGTTCAAGGTGGTAAAGGTAAAGGCCCTCCCGTTGATCGTCGATTTTGCTCGAGCGGGCCCAGTAACGTCTCCATTGGAGACTTTGTTGTTACTGTGTCTGGCATATCGAATACTCTCGGTAGCTTGCCGGGCTCTCTGAGAGGGGTGGAGGAATCGAACTCGGGTCGGCCATGTTGGCCGCTTGTAAGGCAAACGCCCTACCCGCTGTGCTATCTTCTCAGGATATCTTGGTCTGGAATGTTCTGGAGTCTTCCCTGGGCTGAAGTGTCTTTTGGAAGATACTGAACTATTGGCTTCTGAATCAGTAAAGTTAATCAGATTAAGGGAGAGGTCCAAGGTAAAAGGTAAAGGCCCTCCCGTTGATCGTCGATTTGCTCGAGCGGGCCCAGTAACGTCTTCATTGGAGACTTTGTTGTTACTGTGTTTGGCATATCAAATACTCTCAGTAGCTTGCCGGGCTGTCCGAGAGGGGCGGAGGAATCGAACTCGGGTCGGCCATGTTGGCCGCGTGTAAGGCGAACGCCCTACCGCTGTGCTATCACTCCAGCCCTTAAAGTAAAGGCCCTCCCGTTGATCATCGATTTGCTCGAGCGGGCCCAGTAACATCTCCATTGGAGACTTTGTTGTTATTGTGTTTGGCATATCGAGTACGTCACGGGTAGCTTGCCAGGCTCTGCCGTGTGAGTGAGATACTCTCGGTAGCTTGCCGGGCTCTCCGAGAGGAGCAGAGGAATCGAACTCGGGTCGGCCATGTTGGCTCCATGCAAGGCAAACGCCCTACCGCTGTGCTATCGAGGTCCAAGGTATTCGAGGAATTTCCTTCTTGGATAAGTGTCCAGTCTCCTCAGGGTCTGTTGCTGGTGCAAGGTGAGGGTCTTATCAGGCCTTAGTTCCTGTTTTCTGCAAGGCTGGCTTTTGCAACTTCAGAGCAATTACTTTCTATTAAATTTACCGCCATCATCACCTGGGGAGGGGGCCTTCCCTCCTTCTTATGCCAACATCAGTCTCAGCTCCCTTAGTAATGAGTAACTTATAGAAGTAACTTATTCAGTTTATGAGTAACTTGCAGAACTTTCTAAGATTCACTTCAGACCAAAGAGTCATCATTGAGTGATAGCACAGCAGTAGGGCATTTGCCTGGCGCGCAGCCAGCCCGGCCGAGCCGGGTTCGATTCCTCTGCCCCTCTCAGAGAGCCCTGCAAGCTACCGAGAGTATCTCGCCCGCACGGCAAAGCCTGGCAAGCTACCCGTGATGTATTTGATATGCCAAACACAGTAACAACAAGTTTCAAAATGGAGACGTTACAGGGCCCGCTCGATCAAATCGATGGACAATGGGAGGAAAGTGTTTGACAGTGTTTGAATATTGAGGAAATGGAAATGCACCAAGAATCAGTGAGTTGCCCAAGAATAAAAATTATTTTGTAATGCTGCAATAAGGACTACAGTTCAGGTATTCTAATTCCTAATCCTAATTCTTCCCCTGCAGTTTCCCTTAAGAATATAGAAGATGCTTTTTTTCACTTGTCTACTTGCATGAAAGTATTTTTGCTTAAATGCCTAAGAAAGTATGCAGAATTTTAAGAAATTGCCATTTTAATGGGGGAAAATTTGTCTTTATGAGTAAGTCTATGATCTTAAATGTGGATTGTTATTTAGTTCTTATCATTTGGTAATAATGTACCTTAAAACTATCTACTGCCTTACCCAATTAATATTTTTCCTTAACAGATCATTTACTGAGAAAATAACAGCTACATCTTTTTTTTTCTTTTTGGGTCACACCTGGTGATACACAGAGGTTACTCCTGGCTCTGCACTCAGGAGTTACTCCTGGCGGTGCTCAGGGGACCATATCGGATGGTGGGAATCAAACCCGAGTCAGCCGCGTGCAAGGCAAACGCCCTACCCGCCATGCTATCTCTCCAGTCCACAGCTACATCTTGATTTAAGAAAACTTGGTCTTTCATTTGAAAGAATAAAGCATAAGTGTTTCCTTTATAAGGATTATTTCACACTAAGAAACATTTAGTATATTATTTTTTATATCTAAGTTTTTGTAGGTTTGAGGCCCTCCCATTGATCGTGGATTTGCTCGAACAGGCCCAGTAACGTCTCCATTGGAGACTTTGTTGTTACTGTGTCTGGCATATCGAATACGTCACAGGGAGTTTGCCAGGGTATGCCGCGCGGGCGAGATACTCTCGGTAGCTTGCCGGGCTCTCCGAGAGGGGCGGAGGAATCGAACTCGGGTCGGCCATGTTGGCCGCTTGTAAGGCGAACGCCCTACCCGCTGTGCTATCGCTCCAGCGATAGGTTTGAGAGTTGGGTAATATTCATATTCATATTCATATTCTTCTAAACCCATGAAAGGTATCCTTTTCTAAAGTTTGAGTCACTGATAGAAACAAAGGAAATAGTGACATCACTATTACAACATTCTCATACTCACGCCTTATGTGAGTCTGTTTGTCTGAAGTTTTTAGAAAACAGTTTTCTTCCACTTCTAAGTGATATAGTAAAACAATTTCAAGTTGCTTTCATCTCCCAATATTAACCTATGTTGATTTCCTCATGTAGAAGTTATTTAGAATTCATGCCTGTGTTGTAGAGTCTATTGAAATGACTACTAACCATATATGAAGTTGTTGGGGGAAGTACAATTCAAGAAGATAATCTAAAATTCAGACATTCTCTGTATCGACCACGGACTTACTATAATTCTTTTCAAATAACTTTCTATCTAACCTTTTTATAAAAATCCTAATTTACTGTGCTTTTCATTTGTTGTGCTTTTACTAGTGCCCATTAACCATTTGATTTTGAAATTAAAGTTGTTTTTTAATTGAAATATTCTATATTTCCTACCTGCTCAAAAATAGTAGGGCGTTTGCCTTGCACGCAGCCAACATGGCCGACCCGAGTTCGATTCCTCTGCCCCTCTCGGAGAGCCCGGCAAGCTACCGAGAGTATTCAATATGCCAGATACAGTAACAACAAAGTCTCCAATGGAGGCGTTACTGGGCCTGCTCGAGCAAATGGATGATCAACGGGAGGGCCTTTACTTTTACTTTACTTACATCTACTGTAATTTAATGCTCTTGACTAAAGTAGAGCTTTAATTTTTTTTAATTCGCAGTATCTTTATAGATGTCTAGTTTTTTTTTTTATTAGTGAAACACCATGAGGTAGTTATAGACTTATAAATTTTTGTGCTTGGGTTTCAGTTATACAATGATCAAGTACCCATCCCTCCACCAGTGCCCATCCTCCACCACCACAGGTCCCAGCCTCCCTCCCACCCCCCATCTCCCCCATCCCACCCTGCCTCTGTGGAAGGGCATTCCCCCTTGTTCTCTCTCTCTTCTTTTGGGTACTGTGTTTTGCAAGAGAGGCATTGAGTGGTGATCATGTTTGGTCTATAGACTACTTTCAGCATGCTTCTCCCACCCTGGGAGGATCCTCACAACACCCTTTTTTTGGTGCTCTCTTCTCTATCTGAGCTTCCTTTTCACCTAGCACGTGTGGCTGGTCTTCAAGTCATGGAGAAAAATTCCTGGTACTAATCTCAGCCATTCCTGGGTCTTAGTCTCCCGTTTTGTTGCTTTATGTTCCCCAGATGAATGCAATCTTTCTGTGTCTATCCCGCTCTTTCTGACTCATTTCGCTTAACATGATACTTTCCATGTAGTACCACTTGTATGTAAATTTCATAACTTCATCTTTTCTAACAGCTACATAGTACTCCGTTGTGTAAATGTACCAAAGTTTCTTTAACCAGTCAATATAGATGTCTAGTTTTAATGACATGCAAAACTGTGTTTTTAAAATGAGACAATAGAATCTGGTGATGAAAGATTTTATCAAAACTGAGTTATTGGAGGCTGGAGTGATAGAACAGCAGGTGGGGTGTTTGCCTTGCACTGGCCAACCCAGATTTGATCCCTAGCATCCCATATCGTCCCCCGAGCACCATCAATAGTAATCCCTGTGTGCGGAGCCAGGAGTAAGCCCTGAATACAACTGGGTATGACCCAGAAAGCCAAACAAATAAACAAACAAAAAACCTGAGTTTTCGAGGTTGGAGAGATAGTACATTGTGGATAGGGTTTATGCCTTGCATGTGGCCAACCTGGGTTTGACCCCCGGTATCCCATATGGTCCCTCAGCACCGGGATTAATTCCTGAGTGCAAATCCAGGAATAACACCTGAGCATCATTGGGTATGGCCAAAAAAAAAAAAAGGACTGAGTTATCATTTATTTTGTATTTATATAAGCTTTTGTTGTCTGTCATAAGCAAGTGTGTAACTATAAGGTAAGTAAAGTATCATGTATTTCCTTTCTTTTATTATTTTAAAATTATTTTTTTGGTTTGTTTTTTTTTTTCTTTTTGGGTCACACCTGGCGATCCATAGGGGTTACTCCTGGCTCTGCACTCAGGAGTTACTCCTGGCGGTGCTCAAGGGACCATATGGGATGCTGGGAATCAAACCCGAGTTGGCCGCGTGCAAGGCAAACGCTCTACCCACTGTGCTATCTCTCCAGCCCTCTTTTTTTGTTTTTAGGCCACACCTAGCAGTGCTCAGGGCTGACTCCTGGCTCTGTGCTCAGGGATTACTCCTGCCTTAGAGAACCATATTGGGTGCTGGGGATCAAACTCAGGTCAACTTCATGCAAAGCAAGTGCCCTACCCACTATACTATTGCTCCAGCCCCTATTTCCTTTCTTTTAAACTGTTTCTTTTATCACGCAGCATGTTTTGGTCCCAGTGGAGATTTGGCTCACTTGGTAGTAACACAAAATTCCTGAAGACAATTTATTCTTCAACAATCCTTGGACGCCCTACTTCTGCTGTAGGTATTGTTTATCACTTATAGATAAAATATTACACCTACTCTGTGATATCAAAAAGAAGAAATTTTTATTGGAATGAGTATTTTCACTGTATAAACTCACATTGTCTTTTGTTGTGGCTAAAACCAGCTTTCACTAAGAAGCTGTGTGCCTGTCTGTGCAGTAGGCAGAAACCTGGGTCTGCATATTTAGCTGAGTTATATTCTCAGTCTTCTCAAATTATGGATTTCTCTGGCTCTTTAGAAATGAGAAAATGGATGAGGGTAGAGTGATGGTACAGAGAGTAAGGTGCTTGCTTTGCTGAAACCTGGATTCAATCTCCAACACTTTATGTGTGCCCCCCCCCCACCAACCCTACCAGGAATGATCCTGAGCACAGAGTCAGGACTAAGCCCTGATCATCACCAATGTTGCTCAAAAATTTTACAAAAAAAAAAAAAAAGAAACAAGCCAGTGGAGATTAGATACATTTATTCAAAAGGTCACTCAACTAGCAAGAAATAAACCAAAATGCCATGTGCACCCCTTTCTGGCTATTAAATTTCAGAGGACAGGTTCCATCTACCCACCAAAGGGTGTTATAGTGACTCCACATGCAGGCCCTGTGACTTCCAGTTTTTCCAAGTGTACCAGGTTAGGTAACAAGTTAGAAAACAAATCCAGAAGTGGGTTATATGTAGGAGTTGATAATTCACCATTTGTTTTTTAGTATTTTTTTTAGTATGTGGCTTGGGAGAAGAATGTGTCAGTATTTCAGAGGAACTGCTCTCAGGTGAATAACTCAATAAGAATCACCTGCCAGATTCATGGACCAACTTTAGAAACCTGATTCAGTTAATCAAGGCATAAAAGATGTTTTTAGAGACAAGTGAAGAAATACAAATGTAGGTTAGGTTTGTGATAACAGAGGAACCTTTGTTAATTAGGTATCATGTGAAGTTAATAAGAAATTGTCCATATTATCCAGAGATAGACACCAAGTATACAAAGTATAAGATTTGCTTTAAAATTATGTAGCAAAAAGAGGTTATTAAAGTAAAATGACATCTATATGGTATGGTTCCATACTGGAAAAGACAGTATAGTGGGTTGGGCTCATCTTGCATGCAGCTGACTTGGGTTCAATTTCTGGTACCCTGTGTGGTCCCCCAAGTGCAACCAGAAGTAATCCCTGAGCTCTACCAGTTCTAACTACCCCGGAAAACACTATACTAGCACTGTGCTCCTGTTGTTCATTGATTTGCTTGAGTTGGCACCAGTAAAGTTTCACAATGTTGTGAGACTTGTTGTTACTGTATTTGGCATATCGAATAGGTCACAGGTAGCTTGCCAGGCTTTGCCAAGTGGGCGAGATACTCTTGGTAGCTTGCCGGGCTCTCCGAGAAGAGCAGAGGAATCGAACCCAGGTTGGCTGTGTGCAAGGCAAATGCCCTACCCACTGTGCTATCACTCCAGCCCACCCCTGAAAACAAATGAATAAAAATAAAATATAAATTAGCTAGAAAAATTAAAATTAAAAGGGATGAGCAACAATTCTTTGTGATTATAGAATCTGAACAATGTAATATTACAGTTAAACTTTTCCTATTATGTTATGAAATTTCCATTTCTGAAAATCAGGAATGGGTTGAATAATGGCTAAATAATATCATTCTCAACATTTATGTAGGTTTGAAATTTATATAAACCATTATGACTTTTATAAAACCATCACCAACTCTCCGTCTGCGTGAAAATGTGTAAACTAGTCACACAGATAAGTTGACCATGCTTTCACTATCTGGTCAATGAAAAAGGTCAATGAAAATTCTGTCTGCAGAATTGTCTCTTCCTGGCTATTCCACCATTCCCTTGGTTTAGGCCATCAATGCAGAGATATTGGTTGAAGCAAAGGAATAGGAAGAACAGGTGCATTCACCTAAAAGGATGTTACTAAGGATGTTCATTGTGATGAACGTCAACAACAGAATAAACATGACCACGGTATGTCCTGAAACATGTTCTGTAAACTTGGTGTATACTTTGAAAAACATGTGGGTAATTTTTATGCACATTCCTAATAAGAACCACTTATAAATCACTAGCCAAATTTTTAGGTTATTTAGGCAGTATTCAGCCCTTTTCCGCTTTAGCAATCACATCAGAAAAGTTCCTGTAGTGCATCAAAACCTTTGCAGTTAAACTAGTCCCACAGATAAGTTGACCATGCTTTCACTATCTGGTCAATGAAAAAGGCAGCATGATGAGTTTTTCCAAAGTCACTGTCACTGTCACTGTCCTCCCGTTGTTCATCAGTTTGCTCGAGCGAGCCCAGTAACATCTCCATTGTGACAATTGTTACTGTGTTTGGCATATCGAATACATCACGGGTAGCTTGCCAGGCTTTGCTGTGCGAACGAGATACTCTTGGTAACTTGCCGGGCTCTCTGAGAGGGGCGGAGAAATCGAACTCGGGTCAGCCATGTTGGCCGCTTGCAAGGCAAATGCCTTACCTGCTGTGCTATCGCTCCAGCCCTTTTCCAAAGTAGTAGCAATAAATTTAAGAAAGACCAGAACCAGCCATCACTACTTAATGTAAACCTGTTTTCCCCAGAAAATTCCTGTCATCCACAGTATTATTGACCTCAAACACTTACTCTCAAAATTAACTGAAGGGACCAGGGATGTAACTCAGTGTTTGAGTACTTGCTTTGTGTGTATGAGGCCCTGGATTCCCTCCCGGGCACCAAAAATAGAAAGGGTGCCACAGAGCAAGCGAAAATAATGATGTGGAATGTGCTGTGCTCTTTCTGTATCGTCTGCCTTTATTTTCTAATCTTTATTTTCTTCGAAGTGAAGTAAAGGTTTACTGGGGAAGGATAATAATTTTGTGTGGAGGTGGGTGCCAGTGGTGAGGGGTGAGCGGAGGCCTCACACTCCACAGTGGCCAGGGCATCAAAGCTTACCCTGACTGTGCACTCAGGATAACTTCTGGCAGAGTTCAGGGAACCATATGTGGTAAAAAAGGTAAAGGTAAAGGCCCTCCCGTTGATCGTCGATTTGCTCGAGCGGGCCCAGTAACATCTCCATTGGAGTGGTAACTGGGATTAAACCCATGATGACTGTGTGCAAGGCAAGCACCCAGTACCCTATACGATTGCTCTGGCTCCACACAAGGATGATCATTCTAAGGACAATATGAGAGTCTTCAGGGAGAGAGAGAGATGAAAGGGCCAAAAGAAAGGAATTGTGTGTGGTAAAGGCAGCCATGCACAGCCCCAAGGTGGGTGCTATAAGGGAAATAGATTATGTACCCAGAGTAAGAAGGCAGGTGACCAGAATGAAGAGCCTGTAAAAATATGTGTTGTTCCTAAAACTTTCAATAGATCACTTAAATCTTTCAATAAATCATTTGCATTTAAATGTTTTAATAGCATGAAGGACTGGAGCATATTCTTTACCTATGCAAGACCCAAATTATTTCCCAGTGTTTCATTGCCTTCCAAGCTACTCTGGGTATGGCCTGATGACTTCCAGCTCTTCAGGGTGGACTCAGGTAGCTCCTTATCACCATGCTTGAGCACTGAACCAGCAAGGCCACGCTGCAGAACCAAGTGCTGCTGAGAGTAGCCCCTGGGTCCCAGGCAACTCCCCCACCCATAGTAGTAACACAACAACTGCAATAATAACAAAGGGGGCGGAGTGCAAAGAAAGAAAGGAAGTGTGCTATATAGGAAGAAAAGAAAGAAGGAAAACCCAAAACAAAATCACTTCCCCCTATGTAATACCTCAATCATTAAAGTTTAGAAAATTTGTATTATTCTCTGGTCTCAGAAAGCCAGAGAAAAGATTGATAGGGAGAAAGAAAGAGGAAACAAGAAAAGACAGACCGAATAATTGTTTGTGAGAGATCTTAAGTCCCACCTCCTAATAATTAAGTGATACCTTTTGTGAAGCTAGTCATTATTTGAGGTTGAGCCATTCATATTACAATTTGTAGCCCATTGGTTTTTCTCTTCTCTCATTAATAGTCTACTGACTGCTTATCCTCAAAATGGCCTTTTCTTCTCAAGGAAGCTATTCTATATTACTGATTACTACGTATCCCATATGTGTCAAATCCAGTAGAATGTATAATACCAAATATGAACCCTTGTATGAACTATGGACTATGGACTATGGGGATAATAGTGTGTCAGTGTTGGTTCATTGACTATACTAAATGTACCCCTTTGACTGGGAGGATTAGTACAGAGGGGCAGGGGGCGAGGGGGTGGCACTGTGGCAAGGAGATACATGGAAATCCTCCAGTCAATTTTGTTGTAAGTCTAAAATACCCTTAAAAAGGTTATCACCATTTTTAATGGGGCTTTTGGTTTTTCAGTATCCAACAGAAAAAAGCAGAAATGTTTCCTTTGTATCAACCAAACAACTTTCCCTACTTCAGTCTGTATTTCCCTAAAGAAATCACAACCCTCTTTTTGCTGTGAAAATCTTGTCATACATTTACTCCAGACCCAACATATCTTTACCACTGTTTAAAAAAAACATGATAATTAGATCAGGGAGATAATACAAAGGTTCAAAACTTCATATGTACTTGGGTATGACCAAAGTTTGATCCCTGGCACTTCATAGTCCTCACAGAACAATAGGTGTGACCCTGCTAGTCCCAGCATTTCCAGGATGGGTCCAGTGGCCCCCAGCACCATGGGGCTCCAAACAATATCATATCACATGGTCTGGCATCCAAAAGTTTGCTAGGAAGAACCCCAGGCCTTCTGAGTACTGCTTGAAAATTCATCTAAATAAATTCAGATAATCTGATTTGCTTTCTGAAATAGTACATTCAAGTAGTCTTTTCATTCATGATGTAAAAAATAGTGTTTACAGGTTGCATGGGATAGGCTTTTATATAATCATAGTGTTAGATAAGAAAAGAAATATTTCAGAGAAAGTCACCCTCCCAGAGAAGAAAGTGGGGGTATGCATGTGGGAGGGGGTCTTAGGTAGATCGTCT